TTTGAATTATTTGTCTTATCATATTTTGCCATTGTAGCTTATTGGTTTCATATTTGACGCTTCCGCACAACACCTTGTTCGTTTACAGCCCTGGGACATCAATTGGAGTCAGTTCGATATTACTTGGCTTAGTTCTTGTTGGAAGAGCAGCTTTTGTATTTCCTCTATGTTTCTTATCAAACTTAACCAGGACATCTCAGATTGACAAAATCGGGTTTAAGCAACAGGTTAGCTATTTTCCAAATCTGCTACTTCAAACTTTTCAGCCTCTTGAATTTCTTAGTGATTGACTGGTCGACATAACTCAAACAGGTGACAGTATGGTGGGCAGGACTCATGCGTGGTGCTGTATCCGTGGCTCTTGCTTATAATTGGGTAAGAATAGGATCAAATTTAATGTGTTTCCTAGTTTTCTTTTACTGCCACCCAATATTTTATTTGGTTTATACAGATTGCGTACAATTACAAGCACTCGTCATTCATCTGCATTTGTGTTTTAATGTAAGGAAGTTTGTATTATGCTGTGTTTCTTCAGTTTGCAATGTCAACGCATACTCAACAGCGTGGAATTGCAATCATGATCACTAGTACGATAACAGTAGTTCTCTTCACTAATGTGGTACAATACTAAATCGCTGGTTAACTTTTTTCAGTTCATATGATTAACTATTTTCTCATGAGTTCATTCTTTAATTCCAAATCGGTCTTTGGCCATTGTAGGTGTGCGGATTATTGACTAAGCCTCTCGTAAGGTTCTTGTTGCCGCAACAGAATCACTTAGATAGCATGATGATGTCCTCTGAGTCGGAGATGTCTCTGGCTATGCCGCTCCTCGCTAATGAGGAAGATCCAAAGTCAAATATGTCTAGCGATAACATTCCTCGTCCATCCAGCCTGCGCATGCTCTTGACGACACCAACTCGTTCTGTCCATTACTATTGGAGAATGTTTGATGATGGTTACATGCGTCCTGTCTTTGGCGGTAGAGGATTCGTTCCTTATGCTGCCGGTTCACCCAATGAAAATATGCATCAACCGTTACTCAGTGAGCAGAAAATTGTGGAGTTGTAACTTCAGGATTGATTGTTCGTTGGGTTACTTTGGTGTAAATAGTCAAAATTATAATTTATAGGCAGTTCTTCCTGAGCCTCATCAGTCTAACAAACACGATACGCCCTGAAAAATAAATGTTTTTGGTGTATAGAGTTTGACTCATTTGGATGTGCTTTTAAAATGTAAAGCGCTTTTAGGGAAAATGTTTTTGGGTTCCAAAAGCACTTTAAGTGTTTTTGTAAGAAGCACCAGTTATGTACTTCTTCCAGGAAGCATTTAAGTGCTTTTTCAAAATTTATTTACATTTTTACTAAGGATTGGTTCCAAAAACATTTTCACCAAAAACGCTTTTAGTTATTTTAAAAGTACATCCAAACAATATTTTGTAGTATTGTATATGGAGCTTATGAAAGAAATAGGATCAATTACTGTGCCTTGGTGTACAAGATAGTGTTTTCAGTCAATACAAGGAGGAGGACATAAAACCAAAGCCTCGTCGGAAACAGACATAAAGTAGACAAAGGTCAAACCGTGAGTGAAATAGTATAAAGAATTACACAAGGCCACGCAAAACAAGATTAAGATAGTAAGTAAAATATTACTTTATTCGAAATAACAACATGACAGATGACTCCAATTTCACACCATAACTTCAACTTGTACTCATCACCCTGAAATAAACTCGATGTGATGCTCTTTGTTTCTCTCTTCACCTGATTGACACTCTCAGATCTCTATCTCCTTACGTAGTGACGAGAAGAGGCTTCGAGGCAGTATCATCGCCAGGCTTATCGGGAGTGTCATCCTTAGGCTTAGTGGGAGTATCATTGAAGCAACCACAGCAGCACAAGATCCTGCAATACCACCGACAGCAACACATTTCAGATTTGATTTCATAACTTCTTATGCTCTATAAAAAAGAATGATAATTAGAAATAAAAATATAAAGGGGTTGTTGGTCACAGATCATAATTACCAAGAACACCAAGTAGCACTACTGTCAACTCCTGCAGCGCCGCTAGATTCTCCTGCGACATTGACATGTGCTCTTCCGCCGCCTCCAGGCCCTCCTCCTCCGCCTACAGGCCCTCCTCCTCCGCCTACAGGCCCTCCTCCTCCACCGCCACCTCCACCACCTCCACCTCCACCTCCACCACCACCACCTCCACCCCCTCCTCCACCACCGCCTCCTCCGCCGCCGCCAGGTGCCATCACTAACCCTTTAAACAAGTGAGAGTAGCAAATGCCAACCCAAAAGAAGACAACTTAATTTCAATCGGACTTTGGAGATGTTGCTCTGATCAGTCTGATCCCAATAAGAATATATAGAAATCTCAATAAGTTGAGTTTGATTACCAATTAGTCCCACTTGTTTTAAGGTCTTTTTATATTTCATTCTATATCATAACTAATTGATTTGTTGCAAGACTTGCATGTGGCATGCATTCTGTACTTTCAAAATTTTCTTTTATCAATAGGAGGTTCCGAGAAGAATACGAACTTGAGACCTTTTCAATACTGAAAAGAAAATTAGCATATGTCGTGTTTTTCTGTCTTTTATTTCCAATTTAACACAATTGAAATCTCATTTTGGCGACACTGGTTTTAAGCAGTACTTAGCTGCTGTTTGTTACTCTCAAGCTTCAAGTTCTCCCATTTAGTTTACTACCTAGTTGCAATATATGATTCTACTTGAACTTTATTTCTAGGTAAACCAAGCCTTTGGCATATTAGTTCCATCATGCATAAATAGGATACATGATTTAATTCATGCATTCATAATAACTTTAAGTTGCTACATATACATACATATATATAACTAGTCCGCGCAAGTATACGCTCGGGTCTTGACAATACCAGCTCTTGAAGGTGAACATGTACAAATTAACACATCAAACAACTCTTCACTCAAAACCACAAGTCATACCAGACAACTAATTACATCATCAGCAACTTGCATGCAGTTGATTACGTTATGGTTAAGTTAAGTAGTGAGTTATAAATTCAAGTCAACAATTTATATGTTTTAATTAATTAGTCCCTAATTAAGCCAATAATTCTATAATTTCGCAAATAATGAAAGACTGAAATGGTCAAGTCCTCAACATTTAATTAATGGAGTAATTAATTAACGAGTATATTTTACTATATTTCGATGAGATCGTCAACAATTAGCGGAGTAATTAATGGGCTGTTCTTAAAAATTAGTTCTAATAAATCAGACACAATTGCACAGACATGTTCTCATGTACAAATTATACTTGGAACCCGCATACATGGACAAAGATTGTCATGTGATCGTGTTTTGTTTTCACACTGCAGCGACCACTGTTAGTAAATCTGTAAATATATACAAATTAATACATGAAACTTGGATAAAGAAGTAGCGTGACTGTTAATTTCAGACATTTTCATCTTCTGTTTGTTGGTAAGGATGTCTGGACACTGAAAAAGTTGGAAACTTATAAGCAAGAAGTACGTATTTACGGTCGACTTGTTAGAGGGGACCTCGTTCCACTGTTCATGGACTGTTAAGGGTTAAGCTTTAGGCCGCACGGTATATGTTTACACAATCCTATTTACACAATCCTATTTATATCCGCTCAATAAAACTAACTAGATATATATCTTATGCACATATATATATATATAAAAATTTAACCTGGGGACCTTGGGGTCAATTCAATTCAATATATAATATATAATTAACTTGGGGACCTTGGTCAATTCAATTCAATATTACTTGGCCAGGTTCTTTTTGGGTTCTCTACCGGCAACATTGATTGGCTTTAAACAGATTGGTTATGTAGAGGACAGCACCACCGGAGGTTGAAGATCCTCCTCCTCCTGCGACTGCGCGCTTAATGTATGGCCTATTGGTAATGGCGTTTGATCTTTTGCTGATTATTTGGCTCTTGAACTCATTGACATGACTCAAACAGGTGGAGATGGTATGGTACGCATTTGGCCGAAATGGGTAACCACTAGGTTCTAGCTATGTGTTAATTGTGATGGCGAATGGTGATGAGTTGTGGTCGTGGTAGGATGATCCGGGTACTGTCCCATGGGATTTAGGCAAGATGATCCCTTGCTAACGACGTTAGCGAGATCCAAATTCCTGTAGCATTCCGGTCCACCTTGCTAACGAGCGCTTGTTCTGCGATTACTATAGGAAAATGTTTTATGATGGTTTCATAAGTCCTGCCTAATATGCATCAATCGCTACTTGGGGAGCAAACAGCCGTAGAATAATATTTATAACTTGTAGGCACTAGGCAGTGCTAGCTCCCTCTGAGCCCCATCGATCAGAAGAGGCAAAATGCTTTGTAAAATGATGTACAACCTAAACGTTCTTCTCAGCACTTGAATTTTCAATAAAAATCATGTGCTTGTAGCAAAACGCTATGAGCAGGAGCGATTTCTACATGAGCATCTCCAACAAGTCGTTGAACTCCTTTCTATCTCACAATTCCTTTGACATAAAGGTTGGCAGATTTTGCAGTATGCTTGTAGTTGGAATTTTTTTTCGATATAAACACTCATGTCAATAAAATGATCTGAATCCGTTATTTTATTGGAAAAAGAAATTGGAAAAAATGCAAAAGGACTTCTGAATTTGATGAGAAAAAGAACGAGGTTCTTTCTCAAGAGGATTGCTCAGTCAGTACATCATCGATTTGGAAGAGATTAAAGAACAAGATTATTCAAAGTTATAGTTTAACAAAATGATTCAGAATTCACACTCTGTACCCTGGTCAATGAATAAAGTAACACACTTCTAAAAATAAACAGTGTAGTGGTAAAACAAATTGGCATCACAAGATTCAGTAGGGAGGTGGTCCTCCTGGAGGTCCATATCCACCATGAGGACCTCCGCCGAAGCATTCATGCAGCAAACCGCAGCAGCACAAGAAGTAGAAGCTGCAATATTCCAGTTTCCCCAGCAATAACAAGAAGTAAACACTTCAGATTTCAATTCATAACCTTCGAATATTTAAAGGGAAGCGATTTTAACACTCCTCTTTTATCTGAACTCCAAAACCGAAGATGTATAACTTTTTATGCATTCGCAAGTAGAGTTCGGGATGCTAGTTGAGAAGTATTAAAATCGCCGAAACGACAAACTTTGCAAGCAGTGTCAAAATAAATAAACATCAGAATGGTGCATAAGAATAATGATCAGAAACAAAAATGCTGTAAGGGTGTGTTATCGTAATTACCAAGAAGATATCATGCTGCATAATCCATCAGCAAACCCTCCAAAAAAGCCAGGTCCTCCTCCCATGAAACCAAGACCCCAAGGGCCTCCCATGCCAAAGCCCCAGCCACCAGGTCCTCCAGGCAAGGGTCCCCATCCACCGGGTCCCCCAGGCCCTGGCCCCCATCCGCCAGGTCCCCCAGGTCCATGGCCGCCCCATCCACCAGGGCCGCCCCATCCTCCAGGGCTGCCCCATCCACCAGGTCCTCCAGGCCCAGGGCCTCCCCATCCACCACCGCCTGGGCCTCCCCAGCCACCACCGCCTGGGCCTCCCCAGCCACCTCCGCCTGGGCCTCCCCAGCCACCTCCTCCTGGACCGCCACCGCCCGGTCCTCCTCCACCAGGTCCTCCAGGATCCATCACTAGCCCTCTATCTTACAATTTAACAGCCGCAGCCACCACCCAATGAGGCAACAAAAGTAAGACTGCCTAGATGTAGCTGATCCGAATAGAGAATAGAATATCAAAGCTAACTAAACAAGTTTTCAGTTGACTGTATGTAAACAAAATCAACGTGGAAGTGGGAAATGGGAACAGTTGCAGGCAGGCAGTCTGAGAGATTACTTACCGTAGAAGTCGAAGCATATACGAAGTTCATGTGCAGACACTTCTAACAACTCTTACCACCAAACCTGCAAGTCAAACCAGACAATCTGTCTACCTACTATTCTAACTTGCATCACTGATCTACTTACAATTTACAATTAGGTCATGAAATATTAAAAATTCCCCTATAGAGCCAGTTGTAATTTCCCAATTTGATCAAAGTTCAGCTAAACAAATGACCAATCCACATGACAGGTCCATGAACTCGAGTTGGAGATATAGATTCGATACAAGCCTCATAGGGATCATAATCTAGATAACCTCCACCTATCCCCGGATAAAAAGAACCATTTGTGAAATAACTTCGATGAGAAGAAAAAAGAAGGCATTAGGAGACCCTCCTGGCCCAACCCTATGTTAGTATGTAAGTTGTTGTACTGATTAGTAAACATTACAAGATTGTTATGTGTGTCATGTCTCAGCTCATAGGCTGAGCTATTGTGTAAAATTGTGATGTGTTGATTAAGTCTCATAGGGCTTATCATTTGACAAGTGTCTTGATCTTAAGATAGGTTGTGATGGTTGGTTGAGATTGAATTGAGGTTATGATTCTCTCTCTCTCATCTTTGTCATCAGATATATGTCTCTTCGGGTTGTTATGCCCATAATGCAATACAATGATAGAAGTTGAAAGGCTATGCTCTGTGTGTGCTCTCTCTCTCTGATTTCATCTTCTAAATCTTACAATCTTTCTCTCAAATCCTGTTAGACTTAGTTATATTAGTTGTATTGCTGGATTCCAACATGGTATCAGAGCCGAGTTCGATCTAGATTTCTGGGCGTTGTTTCTACGAGTGGGTCTCGGATTCACAGCAAAAGCTTATTGCGGTGATTCGAGTATCTAATATGGCAGGATCTGGAGGAGGAGAACTCCGGGCACCAATTTTCAATGGTGAGAATTTTGATTTCTGGCAAATCAAAATGAAGACCATCTTTCGCTCGTATGAACTGTGGAATATGGTTGAGAGTGGGTACAGAGCTCCGGCGAAGGAAGAGGAACTCACAGAGGCGGAGAGGAAGCTGCTGCGTGAGAATGTAGTTAAGGATGCTCGAGCACTGGGTATTATTCAAGGTGCAGTTTCAGACCAAATTTTCCCGAGGATTGCAACTCAGGAAAGTGCGAAGGCTGCGTGGGACATTCTGAAACAAGAGTTCGTTGGTGATAAACAAGTAAGATCTGTGAAACTTCAAGGTCTTAGGCGAGATTTTGAATATACTCGCATGAATGATAGTGAATCTCTTTCTGTGTATATTGCTAAGTTGTTTGATCTGATTAATCAAATGAAGAGTTATGGTGAAGATCTAAGTAATCAAAGAGTTGTTCAGAAATTGTTAATCAGTTTACCTAAGTCCTATGATAGTATTGCAGCAGTGATAGAGAATACTAAGGATTTAGACACCATAGATGCACAGGATGTTGTAGCTATCTTGAAAGGTTATGAACAACGGTTGGATAGACATGGAGAGAGTAGTATGGAGAAAGCATTTGCTAGTTTGAAGTTTGTCCCGAGGTCAAATAAGTTCAATGGTCAGCCAAACAGTAACAAATATCACAAGAATTTTAAGCCAAAAGAGAAACAATGGAGTAACAAGGGTGATTGGAGCAATAAGGGTGGATTCACTGTGAAAAATGAGGCAAACAATACTGGAGATAAGTGCAAGTTTTGTGATAAACTTCACTATGGAGAGTGTTGGGTTAAAAACAAAGTTAAGTGTCACAAGTGTAACAAAATTGGGCATATTGCAAGGTATTGTAATATGAACAAGACTGTGCAGCATGTGAACTTTGCTAATCAGGTTGAAGAAACTGGAAACTTGTTTTATGCAAATCATTCTGTAGAAGTAAGGAAGATAAGTGATGAATGGTATATAGATAGTGGATGTAGTAATCATATGACATCCAGAGAAGATCTACTTGTTGATATTGACAGGAAAGTGAAAGCAAAAGTCCAAGTTGGCACTGGAGTTTTGGTTGAAGTTGAAGGGAAGGGAACACTGATCATTGAAACTGTAAAAGGTCGAAGATATATAAAAGAAGTTATGCTTGTACCTGGTCTTACAGAAAATTTGTTAAGTGTGGGACAAATGACTGAGCATGGTTATTTTCTGTTATTTGGAGATTATAAAGTGGATGTGTTCGATGATAGATCCTTACAAAACCTGGTGGTCAGTGTGAAACAGAGAGGAAATAGATGTTTTCCCTTAATCCTCAACACAAACAAGGAGCTTGCATTGAGGACAAATGTGCAGGAGTGTGTTAGAATTTGGCACAAGAGGTTCGGTCATCTAAATTTCAGAAGTCTCAAACTGTTACAGAGTCAAGAAATGGTTTTGGGGCTGCCTGAAATCCAAGACAGTGAAACTGTATGTCAAAGTTGTGCACTGGGGAAAAATCACAGGGAACCATTTCCCAAAGAATCAATGTGGAGAGCAAAGGAACCTCTTGAACTAATACACTCGGATGTGTGTGGTCCTATGCAAACATCAAGTTTGAGTGGCAATCGATATTTCATTACTTTCATAGATGATTTTTCAAGAATGTGCTGGGTATATTTCTTGAGAAACAAATCAGAGGCCTTCTATGTGTTTAAGAAATTTAAAGCCATGGTTGAGCTTCAAAGTGGATATCATGTAAAGAAGCTAAGGACAGATAGGGGAGGTGAGTTCAACTCAAATGAGTTTGGAAAATTTTGTGAAGATTTGGGGATAGAAAGACAGCTCACAATTGCATACTCTCCACAGCAGAATGGAGTAGCAGAAAGGAAAAACAGGACGATTGTGGAGATGGCAAAGTGCATGATCTTTGAGAAAGGACTTCCAAACAATCTCTGGTGTGAAGCAGTAAACACATATGTGTATTTGCTTAACAGGAGTCCTACAAAAGCAGTGAAGAATACTACACCTTTTGAGAAATTCAGTGGAAGAAAACCTGGGGTTAAACATTTGAAGGTGTTTGGTTCAGTTTGCTATTCTCTTATTCCAGGGAATCTAAGACACAAATTAGAAGAAACAAGTGTCATGGGTGTTTTCATTGGATATGGAACCTGTGAAAAGGGGTATAGAGTACTGAATCCCTTAACTCAAAAGGTCTTGTTGTCTAGAGATGTAATTTTTGATGAACATGGTAGATGGGACTGGGAGAAACACAAAGTCAAGGAAGTCTGTATTCCTTTATCTGCAATTGAGTCTTCAGAGGTGGATAAAATTGATGAGATGTCTGAATCTCATGAACAAGAAGGATCTGATGGGTCTCAAATTCAAGCTGGAAGTTCTACAGTTACTGCTATTGGTGAATCAAGTAGTTCACGGGTCTCTGCTCAGTATGATGATACTCCACTGAGGTATAGGAATTTGAGTGAGATCTATGAGAGATGTCACTTATGTATTGTTGAACCTGAATCCTTTGATGAAGCTGCACAGGATGAAGCTTGGAAAAAGGCAATGAAGGATGAAATGAATATGATTGAAAAAAATCAGACATGGGAGTTGGTGAGAAGACCCTCAAATAAGCCTGTGATTGGAGTGAAATGGGTGTATAAAACAAAGCTGAATTTGGATGGAACAGTTCAAAAGAACAAGGCTAGACTTGTTGCAAAAGGCTATGCACAAAAGCCTGGAATTGATTTTAATGAGACTTTTGCACCTGTTGCAAGATTAGACACAGTTAGAACTCTAATTGCACTGGCAGCAAAGAATAAATGGAAGTTATTTCAACTAGATGTGAAATCAGCTTTTCTGAATGGAGTATTAGAAGAGGAAGTATATGTTGAACAGCCAGATGGGTTTGTAGTGCAAGGAGAGGAAGAAAAGGTTTACAGATTACATAAAGCTTTGTATGGTCTAAAACAGGCACCTAGGGCCTGGTATGGTGAAATAGACTCATATCTTATGCTTTGTGGATTTAAGAAAAGTATCAGTGAGGCAACTCTGTACACCAAATACAAGGGAGACACAGAATTGATCATAGTATCCATCTATGTTGATGATATTATATATACTGGAAATTGTCAAGAGTTAATGGATGTTTTCAAAGCTGAGATGATGTCTAAGTATGAGATGACTGATCTTGGTCTCTTACACCATTTCCTTGGTATGGGGGTAATCCAAACTGAGGAGTGTATCTTCATTCATCAGAGAAATTATGCCTTATCTCTTCTGAAGAAGTTCGGACTACAGAATTGCAAATCAGTGAGTACTCCTTTGGTTCCAAGTGACAAACTGAGAAGAGAAGATGGAAGTGGAAATGCAGATGAAGCTCAGTATAGACAGATTGTAGGTAGTCTGCTGTATCTCACAGCAACTAGACCTGATATAATGTATGCTGCTTGTCTCTTAGCTCGGTTTATGCATTGTCCCACTAACAAGCACTATGGAACAGCAAAGAGAGTATTGAGATATGTTCAAGGAACCCTTGATTTTGGTTTGGAATATAAGAAAGGTGAAGGAACACTCTTAATGGGATACTGTGATAGTGACTGGAGTGGTTCAGAGGATGACATGAAAAGCACATCCGGGTATGCTTTTACTTTTGGAAATGGGATTTTCTCTTGGTCTTCAGTCAAGCAACAATGTGTTGCATTATCCACAGCCGAAGCAGAGTATATCAGTGCTTCTGAAGCAACAGCACATGCTACTTGGTTGAGATTTGTCCTAGAGGATTTTGGTGAAATGCAAACGGTTGCAACACCAATGAATTGTGACAATACATCTGCCATAGCCATTACCAAGAATCCCATCTTTCATCAGAAGACCAAGCATATAAACCGAAGATATCACTTCATAAAGGAAGCATTACAGCAAGGAGTAATTGATTTGATTCACTGTCCTACAAAGGAGCAACTGGCAGATATCTTTACAAAAGCATTGGCAAGGGAGCAGTTCACTTACTTGAGAAATCTACTTGGAGTGAAATCAGTTCACAACTTAAAGGAGAGTGTTAGTATGTAAGTTGTTGTACTGATTAGTAAACATTACAAGATTGTTATGTGTCATGTCTCAGCTCATAGGCTGAGCTATTGTGTAAAATTGTGATGTGTTGATTAAGTCTCATAGGGCTTATCATTTGACAAGTGTCTTGATCTTAAGATAGGTTGTGATGGTTGGTTGAGATTGAATTGAGGTTATGATTCTCTCTCTCTCATCTTTGTCATCAGATATATGTCTCTTCGGGTTGTTATGCCCATAATGCAATACAATGATAGAAGTTGAAAGGCTATGCTCTGTGTGTGCTCTCTCTCTCTGATTTCATCTTCTAAATCTTACAATCTTTCTCTCAAA